TCCTTCCCCCAATTTGTCAATGTCACTTCTATGAATCAGTTTGTGTCAGTTATTTTCTATTACTTTGATTCAGCCAACTTGATGGAAATACTCTCCTTTTCTTCCAATAAACAGAATAGCAAGGCAGCACTCTGCTTAGATTTTTTTTTAAAGAAATAAATGTGATCGTTAAAAGCAAGCACAGTGTTAGATGAAGACTAAACGAAAGCCATATTCAAGTGAAAACCAGATAGAATGAACAAACAAAAATGGTTTTAAAATTAAACTTCTACTTTGGCTGAAGGCAAAACATGCATATGGGCTGCTTTTAAACTACTATTTTCCTATACTCAACTGAAACCTTCTACTCTAGTTTAATAAGAAGTGAATATTAAGAAGTGGTAGAGCCAATTGGTAAACAACTGAAAGCTGAACCCAGACTAATGAGGAGAAAAATGACTGGAACAGAAAGAAAATGCTTTTAACACTATTATTTGAAATATTCAACTGCACAGGTCTCCTTTATGGCTTCAACTGCTTATCAACTCCTGACTCCTCCTGACCCATATTCCAGCTAGCTTTATATGACAGAGTGTGTGCACATATGTAATTTTTCCCCTCCCCCCATGTAGGTATCATCAGCATCTCCTTTGGCAGATTTTCACCCACTCCGAGGCTATGTCTACACTGCAGTTATTTTTCAGAAAAAGGTGCACAAATTGTGAACCGCAATTTGCCTACCTTTTTCCGATTCTTTTTTTTGGAAGAGGTTTTTCCAACATTTGGACTGTCTACATGGGGCCAAATGTGGGGAAAACCTCTTCTTTCAGAAGAGCCCTTATTCCTCTTATAATGAGGAATACGGGGCTTCCAAAAGAGCATGTCCACTTTTTTGGAAACTGGTGTGAAAAAGCAGACGCGTTCCCTGGATGTGGCAGAGTTTTTCGGGAATACCTCTGGTATCCCAAAAAACTCTGTAGTATAGAAATAGCCTGAAACACGACATAGTCAAATCAGTATTCAAAAAAAAAAAAACCAGCATTGAGACTTAAGATCCCACAAATGATAGGTAACCCTCGCCATTGGTGGTGGATGAATTCCTGGCACCACTACGAATGGTGAAATTCATGAACTCATTGTGGGGGGCCAGCAGCTGCCATTCCTCCCAGAGAAGACAGGAGACACCAGTGAATATGTGGAACCATGAATAGCAATTTGCCAAATTGCCAGGGTCTCCTGCACAATGGAAGTTCTGTTATCCAGCACTCAGTTAACCAAAAAGGTCAATTAACCAGTATTTCTGATATCTCCCAATACAAATCTTTAGAGTTGTGCTGGGGAATATACTAGTCCCGGTTACATTATGCAGCTGCATATTCTGCCCTCTACTTATATGCAGAAGACAAGCAAGCAAACTGAAATCAATGATTTATTCAAAAAAGTAGCATCCAAGGTGTGTGTTGGGGTTACTACAAATTCAGTCCAATCTCCTGCACCTTCTACATTTGCAGTGATAACTGATGTTGATAATGATGGCCCTGAGACACTGAAAGAGCCCAAAGTGTTGGCTGAATCAACGAAGACTAAATTATGTTCAAAATAGTTTGTGATAAGTGTGTTCTTAGTGACCTGGGTGTACACCATTCACTGCCCATAGTAATATGTAGTATCATAAGATAACCTACTGTGTAGAAAACTTAACCTGGGTACACCCAAGTGCTTCAAGAAACCAACCACTGGATTGGTGCGTACCTGAAAATAAATATATATATATATGAGAATGAGATAGAGAGAGAGAGAGAGATTTTCCTGACAGACGACAGAATGTTCCTGCCAGGTGACAGAATGAAGTCATCAGCGTCAACAGGTTCTCTCAGCAAAGCAAAAGCGGCTTGAGGGAAGTAGGTGAGTGTAGCGCCTGAGGGAGGGAGGTGAGCATAGCGAGCAGGGGGCGCCCCCCCGTATACTTTTCATTTTATTGTATTCTAATTCTGTGAAAATTGGTATTCTATTGGTAAAACCCATCTCTCAGTTCAGCAGAATATTTGATTAACTCGCAACCCCTTTCCCTCAACAGGCCGGGAAACAGCTTTTACTGTGCCACTCTTGCTTTTTCTAAGCAAGCTAATCAACAAGCTTTGGTGGAGGAGGGGGTTGTCTCTGGTGCTGCGCCTCAGTTGCCAGTATCCTTGATCCCTCGCAGTCAGGGTCCAGGCCAGGGCACAGCAGAAAGTCCAGAGCTTGTTGTGAAATTATATTCTCATGTTCGCAGACAAAAGAACTACATGTATGCACAGCCTTCTGGACCCCTCTTCAGCATTTAATAACATCGATCAACTAATATCCTCTTGTTCCACCTGTCCTAAAAAGATGCTTTAAACAGAAATGTCCTGAAATGGCTCACAGTGAGAGGAAGCACAAGAGCATTACTATGGGATAGTAGATCACCTGCTTAGCAGCACAGGCCACCATGAACGTATCATCCTAGTCTATGTCTAGACTATGGATACCTCTGGTATCCCGCTTTTTTTTGCGGGAGAGGAGACGCGCTCTTTTGGAAGCTTTGTAAACCTCGTTTCACAAGGAAGAAGGGCTTTTCTGAAAGAGGAGGATTTTCCGAAATTTGGCCCAGTGTAGACAGGCCAAATTTCAAAAAAGCCTCTTCCGACAAAACAATTGGAAAAAGGTATGCAAATTGCAGAGCGCAATTTGTGTAACTTCCTCCCCCGCCCCCAAAAAAAAACCACACACACACACCCTGTAGCGTAGACATAGCCCTAGTGTGCTCTGGATCATCACTGAATAAGGAGCTCAATTCAAAGTCTATCTTGATGTTTAAATCCCTTTATGTGATTTACCTTAGCTGTTGGAGAGGTCATCCATCTCTTCGTGACCATGATCATTCTTCTTTACAGGTACGTTCCATTAGAAATAGGAATCACACAGGCACAGAGTACTACAACTTTTTTGGAGCTATTACCAAAACAACTCATATCTGCAAGAAATACGAATGACCACAGATCTCAGAGAAACAGTTGTGTACAACACCTCTTATAAAATTACAGAAAGCCATAACTGAAAATCCCCTTTTATGAAAAACAAAGGCATTGTTTTGCTTACATCTCAGTGTTTTATATATAAATAAAAAATAAATTTGTTCTGCACAATCGAAACCATTAAATATACTGTTCAAATCTTTTTGGTTACATCTTAATTTACATATTATCATCTACTATATATTTGAGAGAATGAGTCTGTTCAAGAACTCCTCCTAAATAAGACCTTGGCTCCCCAAATTGGGGAATATGGGATGGAAAGCAGGGATATCTGGGGGACAACAAGGGACCAGAAATGGGGACTGGGACATCTATAACTCCATTGGGGCAGCAGGGGGGAGGGGTGGAGAAAGGGACAGCCATCTACTATATATTTCAGAGCATGTATATGTTTGTTTGTCTGTTTGTCTATCCCCCAGCTGGGGGACATACACCCCCTTCCCTAGCTGTGCTCACTGGAGCTGCAGCAGCCATGGAGAGGTGCTTCTCACCCATCCCCAACTTGCTGTAGTGAGAGAGGGCTGGTGTTGTCCTCTTGCCCTGGGATAGCCTGTATACTGAACCCCTCATCGTCAACCCCACCCAGAACAATGATTTAAATGAAGAAAAACAAAAATTAATTGAGTTAAGGACCTGAGCAACACCGGATGAATCATAGTATTATATATGTTTGTGTGCAGAAAACTTAACCTAGTAAAAACACATATACACAATGTTCTCATGTGTCATAACATTTTTGACATGAGTTTTAATATTTTCTCAAACTATCTAGCAAGAGATTTGGTCTTATGCAACAGTCACCTTAACACCATTAAGGTATCAGAAAATAGTAATTTTAAGGAAGCATTAAAAAGAAAGTTACTCTAGGACTCTAAGTTAGTTGAAAGCTAGTACAGTGAAATGTTAAATGAAGACAAAAGATGTAGGATACTTCTGCCCTCTGCAGGGGGAATAAAGGTATTAACTAAACCTGTACAAAAAAGCAATACAATTCTTATAGAGACATTGTATGAACACTTCAGAAACATAAAGGTTTAGAAAAGGCTTCATTCTATAGTCTTTGTGCAAACTATTAAACAATTACTAATGCAATGTTTCAGTACATAGATGTTCAAAAGTGTTCAGAATATTTGGTAGCAGCTTCCAGCAACTTAAAGAATCTACTGTGTAACTACCATGTAAGGATAACAGTTGGATATTAATTTTTAAGTCAAAAATCAAATACTTTATCAGAGGGTCTGTCTCTGAGGTGAGCTTGCATGCAAAGAAATACTCTTTGGGGCTCCAGTCCTGTAACTGCCTCCATATGACTGACTCCTGAAACAAGAGGTGCAGGATTACAGGAGGCCCAAGCTGGATATAAAAATCTAGAAGGTCATGGCTAGAAGATACCTTCACCACTTCCAAGTTACATTAACAACATAGACCCCTCTTTATCATCACTCAACTTCCAAAAATGGAGGTGTTTTTTGTTTTTGAAGGTAAATGGCTACAATCACCATGTACTAGGGATGTAAAATCCTGTTTAACTGGCTAATCAGTTAAACATAATGTTTAATCAGTTAGCCAATTAAAAGGGGGGCTGGCACATGCCATGCGTCAGGGTGCACCACAGGCAGGGGCTGCTCCAGTGTCCCCACTGCCTGCACGGTGCCCAGGCCCACTGCAGACAGAAGCTGCTTCGCAGGACACCAGAGCATCTCTTGCCTGCAGTGGGCCTCCTATGGGACTGGAGCAGTCCCCTGCCTGCTGCAGGTGGGGAGCTGCTCTAGCCCCAAAATTAACCTTACCCAGTAAGCCTCACCCTGACACTTACTGGTTAACCCTTCACACCCCTACCAAGTGCCTCCCAAACATATTTTCTAGATACTTCACTGTCCATCAGAGAGGCCCATATATCTTTCAGGAAACTACGAAAGCTCTCGACATTTTATCATGTTGCTTCCTTGGACTCGAGTAACATTTGCTTTTAATGGAGTAGGAGGCAACCAAAAGTTAGATGGTCTTGGCATGCAAAGAAGCTATTTCCACTTCTTAATTTAATTGTCTGACCAACAAACCCAACCAGCATTAGGACTATTGCCTTAAGCACCCTCGTAGGAGGTTTCCTGTCTTTCCAATGAGTACGCCAATTGGACTCTAAGAGAAACTGCTCAGCAGGGTCTGCATGCTGTTTGAAAACGACTGCTCTAATGCAGTGCAATCTGTTTTCATTTGCAGACCCCTAAGAAGTTTTGACATGAGATGCAGACCTCTTTGAAAATTTTGGGCAAAGTCCACAGATCCCCAGGGGCCTATGATAAGCCAAAAGTTTAAAGCCACTGAACTAGTGGGAAGCAGCTGTGAAACAGCTCATCACAGCGACCTATATCAACAACCCCTCTAATGCACCATTCAGTGATGTGCCAAGGTTCCACCAACAAAATTCAAAGGACAGACAACACCTCCTGCAAAATTAGTAGCAGTCCAAACTCAAACACCTCAAGATGGCACACTCCCTCCCCCAGCCTGGGGGCTGTAGGCTTTGCTAGAATTGAGACAGGCTGCCGAGCTCAGCCCCACACTGCGCCACCAAAGACAGGCCCTGCCTGCAGGCCCAGTCCTGTAGAGGACTTGAGTGAGCTTTGACCTGCAGGCAGCCAGGGGCCAGTTTACTTTGAAATGTGGGGGAGATGCTATGGAAAGGGCCTGTTCCAGTCACAGATGGCAGTTCCCCTGTTCCGTCCCAAGTAGCGCCACCGGGGCTGAGCACTGCCTGCCCACGGGACGGCTGCTTTCTTGGCTGCAGAGCCTCTCACAGCCCCCATGGGGCCACCCTGATGCAGTTACCAGCTCCCCTGCTCTGCCCTCCACGGAGCACCAAGGAGAGGAAGCTCCCCGGGTGATTTCTCCTTGCAACCTCCTTGCCACGGGGCTGAGGCCATGCAGGAAGGATGGGGCAGGCAGCCTCTGCTCTGGCCCTGGCTCTAGACGGGACTCGGAGGCCAGGCCAGGCCAAATCTCAGCCTTGGGCCAGCCCAGCCCAGGTCCGCCACCTCAGGTGCAGCAAAGGCACCAAGCAGCAGCTTGGTCTCAGGTTTGTTGCTTGGAAGTGGAGCAGGAAGGGCCTGGTCCAGCACGGGTTCCATAGTTAACCCTGCAGCAAGGTTAACACACCTCTCAAGCAGCCTTGTTGCCTTCGGGTATAGTCTGCTTCCCAAGGACAAAGAGCCAGGGGGCTCACCCCTCTTGCTACAGGCCTGAGCTCAAAGGGCAGTGGGAAGGCAAGAGCAGGCAGGGCAAAGAAGGGGATACACATTGGGGCACAGGGGATGTAGGCGAGTGGTCAGGGAACAATATCCCCCCAACGGACTCTAACTAGAGCAAAATAGTTTTCCAGGAAGTGGTAGAAGCTCCATCCTCCCACCATTTAAATTCAGAGGCGGCAGAGCACTGAAAGACATAGCCCTAACCTCTCCCACTTGCACTGTTAAACATGCTTAAAATACTTTCCTATTATGGGCATCCATCTAAACCAAGGGTGAGCAATAATTTTTGAGGGGGGGCACTTCAGAAATTTGTGAAGAGGTAGTGGGCCACCCTGGAAGGGGTGGAGCCTTGAGAAGAATGGGGCAGGGCCAGGAGGCTTCCCATGCTCCCCCACCAACTGCCCCTGATTGGCTTGGGGCCAGGGGGAGTGCATATAGTCTTCCCCTCCCCCCCCTCCCCAGAACAGGACTGAGCAAAACAATCTCTGCAGGCCAGATCTGCCCTTCCAAGCCACTGGATCCAGCCTGCAGATGCAGCAAGAGGCCCCCAGGCAGACTCCCCTGCTTTTCCCAAAGCCCCTCAGAAAAGCAGCTGTGGGGCTGTTTTTGTTCCACAAACTGTGAGCAGAGGGAAGTGATACTTCATGGCTGTTCCCACCACCAGCACAATCCCATTGGCCGGTTTCTGGCCAATGCGAGCTGCCGGTTTGAAAAGGAGGCAGCATGCAAAGCACGATTTCCCCCTCCCCTCAGGCCCTTATTCACAGAACACATGGGCCTGCAGCCTGCGTGGGGGCGGGACAGGCTCCTGCCTGAGGAAGGAGCCGGCCTGCTGGCTGGGAGTCTCACAGGTAAGTCTCTTGGCCAGAGCCTGCCTCAGGCATCCCAGCCCCTCCTGTCCTTCCTCCCTCCAACCTCTATCCCAAATAAGCCAATTCTTCTGCACCCCCTTCTTCATCCCAGCCCCCTGCCCTAGGTCACAACCCAAACCCATGCACCCCAATCCCAGCTCACAACTACCTCCTTCACTCAAACTCCCTCCCAGACCTCACAGGCCCTCCTGCACCCAAATACCTTTACTGCAGGTGTAGGCAAGACAGCCTCCGTGGGCCGGATCTGGCTGTCATCATGGGGAAATCCATCTCCTCTTAGCCGCACAGGAACAGTGGAAAGAAAGGTGATAGAAATGTAGCCGTGTTAGTCTGGGGTAGCTGAAGCAAAATGCAGGACAATGTAGCACTTTAAAGACTAACAAGATGGTTCATTAGATGATGAGCTTTCGTGGGCCATTTTAACCAGAAAGGACACTCTCTCAATGACTTAACCACCTGCATTCTGCTACAAAGACCTTTTACATCTGCACTTGAAAGGGAATCCTCTGAACTGTCATTCATATTAAAATTCGACACTCTCCGAGAAGGAATGAACAAATACTCAAACTATCTTACCCATTACCAAGATAGCTTCCCTAATTATCACCTCTAATACCATTAGCTCACAGACATCCCACTCTCCCCACCTCTAATATCATCAATTCACAGACACTTACCTTCCTTCCTCCCCGCCCCCTGCATCTCCCTCCTGTTCTGAAATGTGATTTGTCCTTTTCATATGTGTTCATTTTTTTTAAATTGTATCCTTTGGTATATATGGTTGTGACTATTTTCTTCCATTATTTGATCTGAGGAAGTGGGTCTGGCCCACGAAAGCTCATCGTCTAATAAACCATCTTGTTAGTCTTTAAAGTGCTACATTGTCCTGCATTTTGCTTCAGTGGAAAGAAAGACTGTTTTCACCTTTGGCTAGAGTGAAGACTGTGTCGCTTCTTAGCTGCATATCATTCCACATCTACCCAAGCCTTTATTA